CTTCCATTTATGTGACAAGTGAATTCAATTATATTTTAAAACAGAGCATAGAAAATTCTGCTTAAAAGTTTTATTTAACTCTCTCAGTAGTCAAATTCATCATGCATAATGTTTGCCTCAATGAAGGCCTCTTAAAAAGTGCCAAAATAAATAATATTGCAGACCTTGCTCAGAAAGATTAATGCATCTCTTCAATCAGAATGCTGGGCAAGTTTTTATCTATATTTAAGTAAATCTATTCAAGAAATCAGAAAATTTTGGTAAACATATTAGTTTTCTCTTTGCTTTACAAGGTTACTGACAGGTGCTTGGCTAGATCAAAGAATCCAAAGGAAATGAACAACTTCTGCTGATGGAGCATATTGGGGGCGGGGGGAGGATGCCCACTCCTCCAGACCTTGCAGCAACTCAAATATGGTAAGTTATCAACTTCTTTTGAAAAAAAAAAAGGAATATATTTTTGTTTGAATCAGCCTGAGAAATGTTGGTATGTTAAGAGAGCCTCTGAAAGTGGCACAAATGTGCCACTTCAACTCTCTGCAGTTTATCATAACTTACTGATATCAACTGAGCAGCTGAGGTACTAGTCCTAATCTCCACTCAGCCATGAGCTCATTAGTGGGTTTATTTATTTGAAATATTCTTATAACCATTTTCAAGGCAGACTTCTTAAAGGCAATTTCCAAGATCAGGAAAAATCATAATATATATGATGCAAGGTGCTAGAAGAACATTTTCAAGAAGCAATAACACCCTCAATACACACAAACCCCTGTGGAACCCAGGGATTCTCTTGACTAACTGTGCAGGGCAATTACAAAGAATGAAAAATAAGTTCTGATCCAGCACTTTATTTATTCACTCCAAATTCTTCCTAAGATTCAGTACCTTCAGTGGACAGCACTGCTTCACATCCCATCAATTGCCAGAAAAGGCCTTATAGCCCCCATTTCCATGACATTCCATTTGCTGGGGAAAATAATCTTGTTCTGCCGTGGAGAAGAGAATAGATAATGGCTAAGTCTTGCTCTCCTTAGGATACCAATACTATCCTGCACTGGCTGATTCTTTCAGGATGGCTGTACTGTATTTTTATTTAAAATACAACAACCAAATGCTGTTAAAAAAGAAAAGAACTCAAAATCTTTGAGTTCAGTTTGACTCCTGGGAGTACATGTACATGGCAGTTTTACTGCCAGACGTACGGAAGACACCTTCTTCCAGGATTAGTTTAACTTCCGAAGGTAGCCTAAAGTCCTAGCAATCCCTGGTGGTCTTCCTTCCAAGTACTAACCAGCAATTTCTAACATTTCTTCATAGAATGAAACGTGTGGGGTTATAAAAGTAATAAATGAGTACTTATTTGGGGAGATGATGCAGACTAGAAGTAACACCTAGGATGTATTACGCATAACACAATATCTACAAAGTCCCTTTGAACCTTCTTATGAGTCTTATTCATGATTTATACACTTGATGACCATGAATACCCAAAGCACATGCCCTGTGCCTAACAAAAGAACTATGGATCACCTTTGATCCTGCTTTAAGCTTGCAAGATGGAACTGGACTTAAGTAAATTATCTGCAGATTTATTTATTTATTTATTTTTAAATTTATATGCCACCCATCTCCTCTAGAGCGTGACTCAGATGTATCAAAACAGGAAAAATATACACAAAATTATTATATATGTTAAAAAGAAAGGCAGACATAAACAGTAGTAAATTAATTCTTCACCAAAACTGGCATGTGAGTTAAGATGCTGCACAGCTTCCTACACAAATTAAGATACTTCACTTCCTCTCAATATAGCATAGTATTAACAATGATGTACAGCACTCTTTGACTGCATGATGAAATCATTATATTCAATTTGGTATAACAAACTCAGACATTATAGGAAACTGTCACTTGATAGCTACCTGAAGAACATCATAATCTCACCACAACTTTCTCCATATTCTTCATTCTGCAGATTTAAAGTTAATTCTCCTTGATCTCCATCTTTTACTGGCTAGTCCTATCTGCTGCTTCCTTCTTTGTCTAGCTCTCCTGATAGGCTGAAGGCAAGTACAGTCACTGCCACTTCAGCATCCAACAGAGAAACTATGGTACCTCTAATACTACCCCTCCTCTTCCCATTCCCAGGCCAAGCCTAGAAAATTTCCCAAGAATCTTTTACAATATGGAACACACACAGATCTACACACTGAAGACAAGAGGGCATCATCAGCCACAAAGTGCTGTATAGCTGAAATGTATACAGACTCATTTAAATAAATAAGTAAATAAATATTTCCACAGAAACTTCTGCAACATCAGGTTACAAACAATACACAATAAAATACCCAAACAATAGATATATTGATTAAGACATAAGACATTGTCTCAAATACCAGGATTCTGTAACAGCTCTCCAGAAATCAAACTGGAATGTCAGATAAACATTTTTAGATTGTGCCCCCTACTATACTCATGATTTTGGTACTCTGTCCAATCCACCGGACTTATATGGCATCCTGGTGTTGCTCTGTAAGTAAAAGGAACTGGAGAAATTAGGGATGGGCAGCAAGTAAGCCCAAGGTTCAAATATAAGCTTAGTCCTTCATTCCTTAAGCAAACTTATTCAGATGCATCTTAGTTCCCATTATGGAAAAAAAAAAGAAACACTCTTAAATGGATAAAACAACATGGTTAAGGAAATGTCTTATGCTTTGGGATTACTCAGGCAGCAATTGTAAATATTGTAGATAAATAAAAAGCAACAATCCGTTCCTTAATCTCATAAATTCTGCTGTCTTCTCCCTTTAACAGCATCTCCGAAGAGGAACTCCTAGAAATAACTCCCTTGCTACAGAAAACACAACCTGCGCCTGCCTTCCATGTGATCTACAGACACAGGGACATGGAAATCAGCAAGCAAATACAACGCCAACCTTTGTTTTTACTGATTCTCAACATCATCCTTCCACAGTTAGGGCAAAATATAGTAGTGAAGGAAAAACATCTCTTATTTTTTTTTCCTCTTAGGCAAGCAGCTTCAAGATTTTGTCAACTCAAGGCAAGCAGCTGAAACAGAAGACTTGACATGCCACTTTGCAGTTTCTGAAACTTCTTGTTTTAACCACATGATTGACATACATGTAAACTGAAGATCCACATGCCTTTCCCCCCAAAAGCTATTTAATATCCAGCCGTAATTCCTTCAAATTGAAATCAAAATATCCTGAACATTTTCTACACAGTATTATTCTAAAACCCTCATGAAGCGCTAAGAGAAACCCCCAGATACATTTCACATGTTTTAAGTGAGCCTCCTTCACACCTTTGACATGAAACTGACCAGGTACCAGGTTTTAAAACTCATTATACATTCTATTTGCATATAACCAATTTCATTTCAAACTTCCTTTAATGTCTGCACGCCACTTTTCACAGACACGGTCCATACGAAGCACACTGTAACTTGCTTAGCTCCCCCAGCATTGCTTATATTTTTGGAAGGGCTTACCTGTATTTCAACCTCTCCTGCCTGTGCTAAACTGATATGTAGGAAAGAAAACCTTCCCACTGCCACCAAACTAAAATTTAGCCATATTTTCTTCTGGTAAAACTGGCATATTGGGAGGGAGTTTGACTAGTCCACAATTTTTGCTTGCTGCTGCAAGGATAGGGGTTGCCTTTTCCTTTGAAACAACTTATTGCATATTAATGATAGTGAGCATCCCACCACCACTTGAAAGAGTGCGGTGGCATTCAAAGCAGGAAGAGCATAAATTTGTGAACAGTGATAAAGCACCATTAACTGGAAAGGAAGAATATTCCAGAGCTGAAAACTAAACAACTATTCCTATATATGTCTATTCACAATGGCACTCCTTCCCAGGATAGTGTGCCTAAATCTGCAGCTAAGGCAGTTTAAAAGACAAGTTTCTGGCTGATGTCATAACCATGGTACAGTGGGGAATACTAAATAGATTTTTAAAATTCTCTCTTGAACCACTGGCACCTTCAAAATCATTCTCTACATAAGAAAATGAAGGTGTTTTCTGGGATCATTTTGGGTTCAGTATTTGATGTCATGATCACCAAAGTTTCCTTCAGTATTTCAATAAATACTTTCAAATTCTACCATTATACTGCATTATTTTACTCCATGGACACATTTCTCTTAGAGCAGGGTCAAGTTGTTATCTACTTGGTTGTTTCTAGAGAAAATACCTCAATATTGTGTTTCTAACAGCTCATATCATGTACACATAGAAATACACACACCCCTTTTTAAGAAAACTTCATCCTTTCTATTCTGGTGCTGGCTCCATGTTCCTCTTCCAACAAAACATTAAACTAGGTATCCAGACTGTTCCCTCTGCCTCACATACCATTTTAAAGACATCTGTCTCCCTGCCTCCTTATCCCTTCCCCAAATCCCCTAGACAGAGCTGCCCCACCGAACTGGGAAATCATCCCATCTGACTATACCTTTCAAAGACAGGAGACCCATCAAGAAAGGAAAACAGAAAAATGGACAGCCAAGAAGGAAGCTCACATCCTAATCGCTCAGCCTCCCATAGATTCGGTTCCTGCCTTGGCCCGGATTGTTTGAAAAAAGGGATATTTTCCGGCGCTGTTGTAAAAGTTAATGGGTTTGTTACATAACTTTAGACCCAAAGGTAATCCCAGGAAGCAGAGCAGAAGCCTGGCCCTTAATATGATCCCAGGGAGCCACCGGGGAGTCGTAGTCGAGGCTCAGCCCACCTGCCACCGGGGGCCATTTCCTCCCCGCTCTCTGGCGGCCGGGTGATGGGAGGGGGAGTGAGAGGGGAGCAGCCCGGGGGGTCCTTCAGCTCAGGCTCAGGGCGACCCGACGGGCCACGGCACCCTTCGGGAACGGGGGACCTTCAGCGCCAAGACACCAATCCCGGAGGGAGAGGAAACAGAAGCAGGCAGCCCAACCGCTTACCCACCCACCATGACACGAGGAGAGGCGGACCGACATGAGGCAGAGCAGGAGACGGGGGCGCCCCCGAGC